AACAAAGTTTAAGTTTTATAAGCTCAAATGTTCTTGCTCTGTTCTGTGATGCGCATTCGTGACTCTCCTATTCGATCTCATTCCTCAAAATGAACGAATCTTTTCCCGAGTCAACTCGTTCATTTCGTTCGTTGAATGAACCAAATGACACGAAAAAAGATTCGTTCATTTTGATAAACGAGTTCGAATTGGAGAGTCACAAATGTGCATCACAGAACAGAGCAAGACGAGCATTTGAAATTATAAAACTTAAACTTTTTTTTTAATGAGCGATTGTTTATATCTTGATAAAACCCTTATTCATCGCCTGAAATCGTTTAAAGCCCTTTGAACAGTTTGCAGTTTGTACTGAAAGTGTCTTTTGGACTTTGAACCGTTTGGTTCCCATTGAAATCCATTATATGGAGAAAATCCTGGAATGTTTTCATCAAAAACTTATTTTCTTTTCAACTGAAGAAAGAAATACATGGACATCTTGGATGACATGGGGGTGAGTAAATTATCAGCAAAAGTTTTTTTTAAAGTGAACTACTCATTTAAAACTCATCTTTGATCACAAAAATGACATTTAAAAAAAATTTCTGTGAAAAAAAATTCATCAAGCCTTAAAATAGCTTGACTGTAACTCGACACCCTTGTCTCATTTAGTAAAGTTTAAAGCAAAAAATAATAATAACCATCGTAACGGAGCTGGTGGTTTCCATATAACCATCACGGGTCAATTCAACCCTCGGGCTGGATGAGGTTTATTAGCTCTGTGTACATCTGTCCACTCACAGCTAATGATTCACCTTCACTTTCAGTAAGGTAGTTACACAGAGTGACTTAACAGACCATTAATCGTTTCACCGTGTGCACTTGATGATTTTGTGACTTCACACACACATGCGGTTGGACCGAACATGGTCTTTGAAAAGGAAAGTCAATTGGTGCTTCAGTGACAGAGAACCTGTCAATCACAGCTGACGTCACAGCACTGTTTTTATAGCATCACGTAACAAACTAAAAACAAACTTATTTAAAAAAAAACAAGCCATACACATTTTGTTTTAAAGACAGTGTAAATCATAGCCTTTAAAAGTCTCATATCCCATCTACCATACCCACAGCAATTGTTGTGGTTTTCCACGAGCTAATAATTCGGTGGATTACCTTACAGACAATGGTGCTTTTTGGAGCTAGCCAATATAAATTTCTTCCAAGGAAGAACGCTAGTTTATGCTAGCTTAAACATTTTTTTAAAACCTTATTATGGTAACCTGCTTAATTATGTCCTATAATGCGGCTGCTTATATAGACAATATTACAAGTGGTAATGATAATAGTGTAATTTGTACACACCTGCATAAAGCTCAGTGATCACTAATGTTATGCATCGTATTCTGCCAATTACAGCAAATAAATTCCCATAAAGTAAAAAATTACTTCATATTGATGCTCGAATGCATACCTGGACTATATCTGGAAACAGGTTTAAACAACATGAAAGGCAGCACCTAAACCACACCACTTAATTAAAGAATCTCCCCGGGCTATAATGTCTGTGTTGGAGCGAGCGCACACTCACACTCACACACACACACACACACACACTGACAGCTTGGCAGACACAAACAGCACAAAATATTTACAAGAGGAAATAGCTGCGACATGCAGACTCAGAGCCGGTTCTGTGTGGTCCGTATCCATTATGAGGATCCGTCAACACACTGATCCAGAGTCAGTGAGGGCCTTTTCCACAGGAGCCAATCAGAGCCCATCGTCCTGAGGAGCGTTTCTCGTGCGACGCCGTAACTCGCTGCTTGACTATCATAGTACGATACATCCTTGAAGAAATCATTTAGCTAGTCACGACTGTTTCCCGAAACCGTATTGTCGCAAACTGGTCGTTCATCCACGTCGGTTAATGATGTCACGCAGGTGATGGAGTAATAACTACTATTAGATGTTTTGCTATATATATGGACACGGCATCTGAGGACTATTTCTCATTTTTCTCAGTTATTTTGCTCTATATTCAGACTCAATCATAGACTCGTTCTTACACACTAGAGCTCGTTCACACATACACACTCTTCAAGGACGTCACTTTAAAGCCGTAAATTACATTTGTATGTTTTATAAATAAAAGATATACAGTAGATTGTACTGAATGTTAAAGGAACACTCCGACTTTTTGGGACTTTAGCCTATTCACCTTACCCCCCAGAGTTAGATAAGTCCATACATACCTTTTTCATCTCCGTGCGTGCTATGAGTCTGTTTGACGCACCCACCGCTAGCCTAGCTTAGCACAAAGACTGGATGTGAATGGTTGCAGCTTTCATACCAATCCAAATGAGTGGCAAAATAACGCAAACGTTTTCCTATTTACATGTTGTGGTTTGTATAGTCACAGAATGTACAAATAACAAAGTCAAATGAGACACAGACATCTTTTAACCGTATAAAACCTGGGAACTATTCTCTGAAGGCGAAGCACTGCTACTTTGACGGAGTAATAACCGCATCACCTGAGACACGCCGTGGTGAGGAGCGGAGAGTTCGCTCAGTGTTTGGGTAACAGAGTCAGCAATTTATAAATAGTAAAAGCGTAGTTTACAGTCATGGGTTTTCGCTCTATTGTAAATCGCTGCGACAGCAAACAGAACTAAATCTAACTAAAAACGCTGACTGGATGAAGAAATGGCTAACTTACTCTGGATATTTATCCAAACACACCTAAATAGATTATCAAGGGACATTATGTTTGCTCGGTACATTTCAATGGACGACTATTTTGAAAAAATGGAATTTGCCACACGGACCATAATGTGCTGAAGGATACGGCCAGCCATCCCATCGATAGCACAGACAGGACAAGTGGATCACCTGCGGCTGAGGTAAGTGTTCCGTTATGTTTTTAGATGACCTACTGTAACAGTGCCATTAGCCAGATCTAATGTAACGTTAGTGACACTATTATATGATTAGGGTATGAATATGTTTTTTATCTTGATGCGGTGCGGACGCGCTTGGGGAAAAAAAACGATCGAGCGCGTTTACCGCGTTGAACTTGCACCCTGCGCGCGGCGCGCCTAGTAGCCTAAATTTGAAATAACCATGGAAATAACGAACTTGAGCGTGCAAAAGGGTACGATAGGCTGTGAGTTCATTGTGCAAAAACAATTTGTGCTATTACTTTCCCCTTATTCTATCCTATATGCAATTATTCTGTATATTATATACTGTAGAATACATTTGGTTATGCTAATAAATTGCATTTAAAATATATTGATTCCTGTAATAATAATTATTTATTCATGTGATATTTATAAATCTGGGTGCGTTTTTGGTTGGAAATCAATGAAACATGGTACCTGGTCTCCCCTGTTTATTGTCACAGCTCATACAATAAAGCAAACACCCATGATAAACTATGCTTTTCTATCTAACGTTAGCAGACATCCCAACCTGCAAGAATTCATTTCCGGGAGGTATATTTCGGTAACAGGATCTTGGGTGGGAGGACGGGCTAACTTTCGCGTTCGCGAGGCACACTCGGTCTCAGTGCTATGTATGTTATGCGCGCAGTATGTCTCGCTCTAGATTACGGGAGATTTTAACTAATTTGCGGGCATCAGGGAGACGCTATCAATATGCGGGAGACTCCCGGAACTTCCGGGAGACTTGGGATGTCTGCGTTAGTAATTGTCACGGTGCGTCTCAGGTGATGGTTATCACTCTGCCCAAGTAGCAGTGCTTCGCCTTCAGAATTATTTATACGGTTAAAAGATGTCTGTGTCTCATATGGCCTTGATATTTGTACACTCTGTGACTATACAAATCACAACATGTAAATAGGAAAACGTTTGCGTTATTTTGTCACTCATTTGGATTAGTATGAAAGCTGCAACCATTCACATCCAGTCTTTGTGCTAAGCTAGGCTAGCGGTGGGTGCGTCAAACAGACTTATAGCACGCACGGAGATGAAAAAGGTATGTATGGACTTATCTAACTCTGGGGGGTAAGGTGAATAGGCTAAAGTCCCAAAAAGTCGGAGTGTTCCTTTAAAGGAGTCGTTCACTTTTGAAAAAAACTTTTTGCTGATAATTTACGCACCCCCATGTCATCGAAGATGTCCATGTCATTCTTTCTTCAGTCAAAAAGAAATTAAGGTTTTTGATGAAAACGTTCCAGGATTTTCTCCATATAATGGACTTCAATGGGGACCAAACCGTTCACGGTCCAAAAAAAACTTTAAGTACAAACTACAAACTTGTTCAAAGGGCTTTAAACGATTCCAGACGATGAATAAGGGTCTTATCCAGCGAAACGATCGCTCATTTAATAATTAAATAACAAAGTTTAAGTTTTATAAGCTCAAACGCTCCCCTTGCTCTGTTCTGTAACGCACTCCTGTTCGAACTCGTTCATCACAATGAACAAATCTTTTTCCGAGTCATTTGGTTCATTCGGCGAAAGAAACTAACAAATTGAATCGGAAAAAGATTTGTTCATTTTGTTGAACGAGTTTGAACAGGAGAGTCACGAACGTGCACCACAGAACAGAGCAAGGCGAGCGCTTGATCTTATAAAACTTAAACTTTGTTATTTTTAAAAAAAATTAGTGATCGTTTTGCTTGATAAGACCCTTATTTTTAGTCTGGAATCGTTTAAAGCCCTTTGAACAAGTTTGCAGTTTGCACTGAAACTGTCTTTTGGACCTTGAGCCGTTTGGACCCCATTGAAGTCCATTATATGGAGAAAAATCCTGGAATGTTTTCATCAAAAACCTTCATTTCTTTTCGACTGAAGAAAGAATGACATGGACATCTTGGATGACATGGGGGCGAGTAAATTATCAGCAAAAGTTTTTTGAAAAGTGAACTACTCATTTAACTTGCTGATTTTGCTCAAGATAAGGATTTATTGAGTCCACATGTCATGAAACGCAGACTCATTGAACTGCTGATGTTAGCCATACCTGACTAACAGTGCTTTCGGGAAACACACACACCTGATCGAGGCTGGCATGTGGACAGAAGCGGGATGCCATTCATCTCCAGTTTAGACAACAGCCATCATCTTATATCATTGCGGACTCAGATGTCACATGTCATCTCATAAACCACTTGAAATACGCTAAATGAGGAAAGAATCAGAAAAATTAGAAAACACACAGCAAATTAGCAAAGTTCCCAGTTACCAAAACGAATATTTAAAACTTACATCATTTTGTTTTTCCCCAGCCGGTGTTTATTCTGTGACGTAAACGGAGACTCCTGTTGCCTTTAAGTGAAAAATAACACAATTTAATTAGCACAAATAGTTCTGAAATGAAAACATGACCACATTACTTATTGGATTAACAGCTTTAAAAAAAGACTCTTACCTGAAACAAGTCGAAGCGGTGAAACGCCATGATGTACTGTAGGCTTTTTGTTTATTTCTGGTTTCGTTTTCACAGATTTTTTTCCCTTTTTGTGTATTTATAAAGCACTTTCAACTAAAATCTGATACTATACAATACAAATGCAACAATATAAAAGAACACGACACAACACAATACAAACATTATACTTTGCTAAAAGCTATTGATAAAACTTCAGTTTTTACTTTTTTGACTAAGTTCTTATGACGGATGCTTTGATGTTTTCCCGCCAAAGAGACATCTGTAAAACCGCGACCCCCTCAAATATTACTTTTTAAAACCAGATTATAACTTTTGATTGAGCATGACATAAAATATCCTACAATTGAAGGGCTTTAATTAATTTTTTCCGCACCTGGACCGAACAAATCTTTTTATTATGAAATCATGCAAGTCCGTCTGTAGGTCAGAGATGCGATAGCCGTCCCCGAACGCTGCCCTCTCATGGATGGCGTCTGGAAGTGCACGCTAACTTTCTTGATTTTGCATGGCCGCATTTCCAGGATAACACCATATATTACACGGGGTAATTAAACACAAACTGTCTTCAACACAAGACTCACTTCTGCTTACTCCTAAACACCTCAGAGTCGCACTTCTCTTTTTTTCCTTCTCTCTCTCCTTAATTTTTTTCCTCTCCCTGAAACCAGAGTTGCTCGACACTCATAAATGCTACATGGGAAAGGAATGTATTGACCCATTTTTTGGTCTGATGTGGTTCTGCTCGCTGCTTTACCATAAATGTGTTGCAAGTTCCACATTGACCTGTTTTTGTCTTACAATAATATTAAATACTTACAGTCAAACCAACATTTTATTCAGACACCTTTAACATTTCTCACATTATCACAATTTATTCGCTAGAAAATGGTAATATGACATGAACTTAGTTGGTATTTGACTGGTTTTGTCCGTCTTTCTGTTGGACTCTCACACATGATTTATGTTGAATATCTGTCAGCTGTTAAATTGAACAACACAATTAGAGAATACCAGTTTAGCTCAACCAGTGACCAAGCAATGCTTCATGTTGTTCAGTGTATGTAAAAAGAGCATTAGCAAATTCAGCAAAACATGATCAAGTCAAAGTGTCTGAATAATTTTAGGTCCCAAATGTTACCAGTCGTCACTGTATGAAGAATATCTGGGTATAATATTTCACAGTTTACTTTATTTTGCTCTCCTCACTTACATAAGTGAACTATAGTGTCCTGCACACACTAGAAAAAATATATCTTGTGTCTGAATTTTTGGTTTAACTGTACAAAAGATGATCCGGCTATCTAATGCATTGCAAACGATTATCAAAAAAGACATGTAAAGCATAACCTTTTTCTTTTTGCTCTAACAAGGTGAAACTGGTGATTTCAGTCAGATCTTGCCATATTATACAAACCTAGTGGGACACTAGGACTAGTTTATTGCATGTGTCCTGTACTGTGTTATGAATAGCTAGGCTTGAGAAACGGTTTGCTTATTTAGACCCTGCATTCAGTAGGATCTGTTAAGCTGCTGGATTTGACGGACTGGGTGAATATCTTGAAGTGGTCAAATGTGTGTGTGTGTCACTGGCCATCCATACAGTATGATTAAGACAGGAAACATAAAGCCCAGACCCACTGCAGGTAAGAGCCCTGAGTGATTATGTTGCTCTAACTTGTACAAATATTTACAGCCTGATTATTTTGGGTCTGCCGCTGGTATTTTTTTCATTCTGCCGGTCTTGAGACTGCACAAACATAGGAGACCCGACGTCTGAACAAGCTGGCTGTCTAGTCATGACAGGACACCCATAACCCAGACTACTGCCACTTTCAGAGCACTAGACCTGACCACACACATACCTGCACTCACGCAGGCCGGTTCATATGTACAGCTAGGCACAGAGACACACAGTCAAACTTCAAATAGATAAAAAAAAAAAAAACATTATTTTATACCTTCATGTCATTCCAATCCTGGTTGACTTTATGTTCAACATGAAAAGATGTTTTAAAAAAAATATCTGCATTTTTTGTCCATACAATGAAAGTGAATGGGCATCCATGTTGTATGAAAACACTGGAAAAAGTGCAAAAGATGCAAACATTTATTGGATGTAAACGTCTGTAAACAGAATGATCAGTGTGAATTGTTATTATTTTGTCTTTTGGAAAATATGTAAATATTTTATGGAGCATCTAAAAAAAAAAAAAAAAAGATCTTTAAAGTGCCCCTGTAGTGAAAATCAAGTGTTTAATGTTGTTTATTTGTCTATGTTTGAGATTGAGGTTTGAAATCGCTGGTGTTTCTGACGTCACAAACACGCTTGTAACCAATCAGATCAACGTGTGATCGTCAACCAGTGGATCTCTAAGTGAGTGAGTGGAGGCGGGGCTCATTTGCATATTCATAGATCAGCGTATACTAAATGAGGCAAGGGTGTCGAATCACACTCAAGCTATTTTAAGGCATTATTTTAAATAAAAAAAATTTCAATATGTCATTTTGGAGATCAAAGATGAGTTTTAGTGGATGCAATTATTGACCACAGGGGGACTTTTTTATACAATATTTACAAAAATTCAGGGTATGTAAACCTTTGCATCACCAGTTTGATCAGATAACATAAAAACACACACCTCAGATGAACAGCATGTCTCTTTAAAATGGGTGGTACTGTATGAACAGAAGAGTTCGCTCGTGTTAGGATAAAGGCGGAAGAAATGTTGAAACTCAAGAACTGAAAGAGTGGTCTCTTAACCCAGTCCGACGAGTGACCCAGAGTTTTATGTTTATGAGCAAAGTGTTTGCACTCCACCCGTCGTGTTACTCAGAAGTGATTAATTTCCTCTTCCTATGACTAATTGACCCGTTTGCTCCAACGAGGCTCTTCCGAATCGACTCTAAATAAAGGGATACTGATTTTTTCCAACATGGCTGACAGTGGATATGTTTACATGCACAACTTGTGCTTCAATCGGGCTGAATTTATTCCGATTGATGAATCTGAATGTAGTGTTTACATGCACGCTAAACATGTGATCGGGTTCATGTGAGCGTGATTATATGTCAAAAGCTTCAAATCGGGATAGATTTTTTGACATGCGCACACTGCATTAATATTTTCTGCTGTTTGCGCATAATATTCTCCTACATTGGTTCATTATTTCTTTTAAACAGCAGACTTAATATTTATCCATTTCTGGTCATAATTTGGCAGTAGCCGCGTTTCCATTACCTTTGAACTTGCGCATTGAAAATACGCCTAATGGAAACACGTCAATTACGCAAAAACTCCCATTTATCGTTAGGGTTGGGTATCGAGAATCGAGTATCGATTGGAACCGGGACTAACTTTTCGTTTTTCCCGAAATCGTTCAAAAGTTAAAATTTCGATTCCTAGTTTCGATATTCACAGTCCGCCGACCGGAAGAAGAAACTGCTGAACAACACCAACAAAGAAGCGTCTACCGGAAGTGTTGGCATAACCGCGCGAGTCGAACATGAGTAGCTTACGTCGGCGATCCAAAGTGTGGCTTCACTTTTCTAAAAATAACGAAATCTCAGCAAAATGCAGAATTTGTGACAAAAGGAGTATTTCCTTCAGAAAGACCGTGGGTTAGCAAGGTTAGCTAAACTTTTTTGATCCTGCCTCTTAAAAGAATCGGAATCGAGAATCTTTAGGAACCAGAATCGAAACAAGGAATCGGAATCAGAATCGTTCAAATTCAAGCGATACCCAACCCTATTTATCGCCAAAAAATACGCTCGCATGAGGAGGTTTTTCAATCAATTCGAAAAGTAAATATTTCGCAAAACTGCAATGGAAAGAGTTTTTGCACATTTGCAGGTCACCTGACGTAGAGAGGTGTTTGGACAGAAGTTCTTTATTAAGATCGTAAAAGACGAAAGAATTACAGGATTACTGTTTTGTGAAAATCTTCAATGGAAATGCGCCTAGTGAGGATATGAACTGTTGTGCCGCTGCTTATGTTTATCAAAATGCCCAAAACCAGTCATCTGTGGATGAGAGTCTGAAAGAAAAAGGACTGATGGGACGTTGTGTTTCGGTTATCAATCTGATCAAGTGTTCACATGGTCTCTTGATCGGATTTGAAAAGGAATAACCCAAAGCAGATCGAAATTTCATTTGGATTAAACTCAATAGGAACGATTAAGGTGTTTTTACATGAAGCCATACTGAGCCGTCAATCCCATTACTAACGGATTATTTGTTTGCATGTAAACGTAGCCAGTGATGTGGACCTCACAACCAGTGTGTCCCCCTAGATGTTCTGGCTCTCCCCAGTGTTTGGACCACATGGCCAAACACAATCAGGCCTCTGTTAGAAAAGGTAATTATTTGGAAAAATGACTGGCAACACACCTTAGCGTCTCCTGACAGCTCCATTAAATCTGACATGGCTTCGTTAGTCTTGGGAATAACAGTCAACTACGCTTACTTTTCTGCTACCACACTGCTAAAAATTATGTGTTCTTTACTTAAAAATATATGTAATGTGATATAATCCACTAAGTAATTGCAAGTTTTGTTAGTAGATTTTATCGCGTTATTTATACCAAGTAAAGAATGTTGAGTGAACTCAAATATTTAAGTACATATACAAAGGTTTTCTTGTTAATTTCAAGTAAAATTATTCCAAGTTGGGTTTACTCAAAAAGTGCGATGCAAAAATGGTGCATATATATTTTTATCTATATCAGACATATCATTTTTACTAGAATTCTGTAGAGATCAACGGAGACTCATCTTCGTCAGTCACATGGCGTAGTCTTGCTAACTGGCCTGTGAGTGAGATGGTGGGTGGTTTCAGCAGTCAACCCAGTTGCTAATTCATTACATAACTGCAAAATGAAGAGAAAGGCTGAAGGAAATTGAGATTTATTTCAGTGGTGAAACTGGTTGTGTGTTTTGGACCGCACTGCTGTTTTCTAAACATGCCGGGTGTGTGTTGGTCAGAGGGGAGGTGAACAGCAGGCCTTTGTGGCCCGGCCCGAAGCTAAGTGTGTTTGGGCTTGTGGTTTTTGGGAGCCCTATACGGCTGAGATCGGACGTTTTACTGTCGATGGAAAGTGTTTAACAATAAACCCATAA